TGTTGGACTGGTACACAGTGTAAGAGAGCAAGAGATTAATAATGATCAATACCTAAATGCAAAGTGGTGTGTTAGCTTTTGACTGCCCTGTGACTTATTGGTGAATAGACTCGTTTATATATAGTCACTCAAAGCACTTTATAGAACTTGCCCCATCCATACATCACTTTTTTCAATGTCTCACATTCTCACACATTCACACTCCAGTGAATGCATCAGAGCAACATAGGATTCAGGATCTTGCCCAAGGATACTTTGGCATGCAGACTGGTGCAGCCGGCAATCAAACCACCAACCTTCTGATTAGCAGGTGACCCGCTCTACCTCGTAAGCTACAGCCACCCATTATTCCCTTCTCTAGTATTATTTTCCTCCCCCGTTCGCTCTACATTAAGCGCTCTAAAGCACTGGCACGTCTTTTGCATAGCACTGTTAACTACTGTTGTATTTAAACGTGTCTAAAAATACTTTGACTCAAATGTTTGTCTGATAAAAGAAAGGGGAGCAGATCCCTCAGCGTGCGCACACACACACGCACGCAAACACACACACGCACACACTTAGATATATTATACACACAGGAATTGCTGTTTGAAGTGAAATGATTTAATCGCGGTGTCCTCATTCGAGATTGAAAAAAAGAAGAAGAAAAAAGACATAACATTAACGCGTCTCACAGCAAAGCTTTTACAGTCTGGTTTGCTTGCACTCATTTAATGAAGCTGGTAATCAAAGTTTAGAAAATTTAATCCCATTTTATCCCGAGTAATTCACCCCCTGGGTACTGTAGTAGCATTGAAAGATGTAGAGTGTAAAAACAGAAAAGCATGAAGGTTAACTGGCGCCTTTTCCCCGCTTTTATTAGAGGACGTTGCAGTCATTGCTCGGTAATTGAAGCGTAATTGGTTGTGAAGCAGTGTGGCTGGTTCTTCCAAACAGATATGAGGTAAACATGCTTTGGTGGCTCTGTGGCGAGGAGGTGACAGGTTCCTGTAATTGTGATGAATTTGCAGTCCTTGTGCCTGGCTTTTCGCCACACTAATCAGGAATGAAAGGTGCATCATGGCAAAAGCGAGGGAATGGAAGTAAAAGAAATACAGCTAAACTGAAAAAATCCAATTCTCGCTCCCTCATGACTTGTGTCCTGGTACTTTAATCACTCACTTTTTATGCCACTTGATTTAATGTAGCTCATCTAGGTTCGATGGAAGATGCCCAGCAGCTACTCAATATCTATCAGACATTTACAGCTGCTAATTTTTCATGTTCTTCATCTGATTTCTTTTCAGTGGGAAGAGGTCAGCGGCTACGACGATGCCATGAACCCCATCCGGACGTATCAAGTCTGCAATGTGCGTGAGCTCAACCAAAATAACTGGCTACGTAGCGACTTCATCCCGCGAAAAGATGTACTGCGCGTATATGTGGAGATGAAATTCACAGTGCGTGACTGCAACAGCATTCCCAACATCCCTGGTTCCTGCAAAGAAACATTTAACCTCTTCTACTATGAGTCTGACTCGGATTCAGCTACGGCTACCAGCCCTTTCTGGATGGAGAACCCTTATGTGAAGGTTGACACCATCGCCCCAGACGAGAGTTTTTCCATGCTCGAGTCTGGACGGGTAAACACGAAAGTCAGAAGTTTTGGCCCGCTATCCAAAGCTGGCTTCTACTTGGCCTTCCAGGATCTCGGCGCTTGCATGTCGCTCATCTCAGTCAGAGTGTTTTATAAGAAGTGCTCCACCACGATCGCCAACTTCGCCGTATTTCCCGAAACGGCAACGGGGGCTGAAGCGACATCGCTGGTGATAGCCCCGGGAACTTGTGTCCCCAATGCCTTGGAGGTGTCTGTGCCGCTGAAGCTTTATTGCAACGGAGATGGGGAGTGGATGGTTCCTGTAGGAGCCTGTACCTGCATGGCTGGTTTTGAACCGGCCATGAAGGACACCCAGTGTCAAGGTGAGTGTTTTCACAATATATAATTTAGGTCAGTTTATGACGTGTCGTGGCGGATTAAGTGGATTAGACATTCTTCAACAGGTTGCTCAAGGTTCAAACCCACAACAGAATAGTGTGCTACTTCATCTTATGTTACAGTCCTCAGATTTCAGGATGGAGCCTTCTTACGACGATCATATGAGAAGACGTTTACGTTTACATTTTGGGAACATGGAATGGTTTTAGACTAGTGGTCCTAGTCTTCACAAAGACTCGACTGCTGTGCAAACAAACCACACTGATTGCCTGAGAGATTAATTGGACATTATTTTGGCTACAGGATACACTGTTTTATGCTGGATTGTTCACTCAACACATCGTAATGAATAATTTATTTGATCTTGTTTTCTTTTGACACGTTAATCCAGTGATTACAAGCTATAATAATACAGACTAGCAGGGCTACGCACTCCCGTGACCTCAGCTTTGCCTTGAGGTTGGTTGCAAAATGAATGCGCGGTGTGTTGTCTCTTTGTGAAAGCGAGTGGCTAACGGCTTCAGGTCTGATGGAAAACATGACAGGTTCACAGAGGTGAAAGAGAAAGGTAAATTTAAACAGCAAGGTCCCGACTGAAATGGAGTGCAGGCGACAGCGTGACAATAATGAAGGATAAATGGAAAAATTTGTGCTTGTGTGTACGTGGGCGTAAAATTAGGCCCGGGCGTGCAGAACGTGTGTGAAGAGTGAAAGAGCGATCTGGTGAGGTTATTGATCACGTGAATGCAAGGTGCCCCGTGCGTCTTCGGGGGTGATCCCTGCTTGTCTGAGTCGAGTTGTTCTTCCTATAATAGAAGAAAGCGATGACGCTGCACAGGCCTTATATTTTGTATCCACTCCACTCCAGGAGTGGGTGGATACTGAATATGCGCTCACCTTTAGAAGGAGAGTGTTTGCGCGAGACAAAGGGGAGAGTGTAGTATATCTTAAGTGAACGTGGTTAAAAACTCATTTGTTTGTTTCTGGCACCTCAAGGTTGAAGCTCTGGTGACTGGCCGCTGATAAAATGCTCTCTAATCACTAGAAACCACAAGAGATAAATCTCGCTTTCTTGTTCTCGTTAGGTCCTCTCTCCTTTTCCTTCCTCTCCTTCTATATTATTCCATGCTCATTTCTCATCACCCTTTTCCCGTGCTTTTTCTGTCCTCCTAGCATACAGTATCTCTTGCAGCTCTTCATTTCTCACTGCGCCAGTCTTTCCTTCTCCAATTCCTTCCTAATCTGAAGGCCGTTGTGCTCATTAATAAGCCACTAGAGTTACAGTAAGGATGTCAGTATTAATATTAATCGATGAGCCTTTTTTGCCTTCCCACTCATTAGCTGCACATTTTTTACCCCCAATATTCTTTACTTTTTCATGCCTCAGACTTTCCAATTTCAGCATACATTTTAATCAGTTCCTTAAGCTCTATGTTCTGCATGAGAGGATAAGACACAGGGGAGCGAGGAAGAGGGGAGGTGGGGGTCCTACAGGATTAGCATTTTCTATGCCTCCACCTCTTCCACCTCTCCCTCCCTTTTCGCTCTACCCCCTTGTCTGTCTTTCTTCCTCATTCTTTAATGGTTCCTCTAAGGGAAAATGGATAAAAGGAACAGGATGACCCCTTTACTCCCTGGAAGTGATTGATCAGCACTTTCAACCTTTTGGTGTAAAAAAAAAAAGAGGCTTCCTTTAACAGGAATGCTTCTTCAACATCTTTGCTAACAGTTAAAAAAAATGTTTTTCTTGCCCTGTGAGCTCAGAATTAGCTTGCAATTTGCTCTGTGTTAGGTGAAAAAATACGAACAAACTTGTTCAAAGAAACTGTTCTGACACCTAAATTCAAGGTCAGTTCTTTATCTGTTTATCAAACCATACTTCCTGTTAGCCAGCAGTGTGGATAACTCTGACAAATTGGTGGGAGAACAAATATACTCAGTGCTAATGTACACGGTGCAGCCAGCTGGTGGTTTTGAGCTAATATTGAACTTTCAGAAGCAGGAAAACAGCAGGAGCAGTAAGTGGTCTGCTGTAAATTTGACCTCTGACCTCAGTCGTTTTCAAAGGGGAGCATAAATCCAACACGGGATCTGTGACGATAATTATCATTTGGGGGGGGGGGGGACAGACAAACATTGCAGTTTGTCCTTGACGTTGACGAGCTAATGCGCTAGTGGGTCAGCTAATCAACTGGCCCTTATAAACTTTGCCTCTCTTACCTGCTCCTGCCTCTCTGTTTTTTATTAGGCATGGCGGCAAACTCATTCATCTTTTAACAAGACAGTTTATGAAAGATACGGAGCCTACCCAAGGTCCTGAATCACAATGTTGCCGCTACAGTTTCCCTGCACGTCTGTAACTTATCACACGAGTTATAAACGTCCAAACAGCAGCTATAAATGGAGATATGGCATTTTCAAATCCTAGCAGTGTTTTCATGTGACTGACTTGCCTTCAAGAACCAGTTTAGGTAAAGTTATGCTGAAAGTAGTTTCCTGTATAGAAGTAGTCTCAGTAGAAATACAGAGAAAAAACCATTAAAAAAAAAAAAAAGAAACTTTGACATGTTCTCTGTCTGTATACAAAGATTTATGTTTGCACGTTTGCATTTCCTGATTCCCTCACTTCACTCCACTAAGTAAATGTTATTTGTACATTCAACAATAATTAATCAATATAACATAAAAACACCAGTCAGATTTTCATGTTTTTGACACTGCGTTTTTAGGAGACCTGGGATGCCAATGTTACCTCTAAAGCACTTCTGTTGCTTCTGTTGTTTAAGTAGCTGTAGGCTATAAATAAAATGAACATGGCAGTCAACACAAACCGACATAGTTTTTTCTTCACTTCCAAAAACATAATTTATGTAACACAATTCAGTGGGCTACATACTGAAATTAGAAACAAAGTATCAATCCTATTGTGCTAGTATCGATCAGAGACTACTACAAATGCTATAGTACTTTTGCCACTAAAAATGAGTAGAAGTACAGGCTCATGGCATGAATTGGCAAAAGTAAATTTTGTGTTTTCATTCCAGAGTAAGACACTTTCTAATATGATAGTGGTAAAATCAGTTTGTTTGTCGTTGTTTTTTAAGCTGTTGGTCATGCTTTCTTCATCATTCCCTCTTTTGCCATCAGCGTGCAGCCCTGGCACCTTCAAGTCCAAACAGGGGGACAGTTTGTGCTTGCCCTGCCCAGCCAACAGCCGTGCCAGCTCGGGAGCAGCCAGTGTTTGCTCCTGTCGAAACGGTTATTACCGCGCAGACACAGATTCTCCCGACTCCCCCTGCACTAGTAAGTAATGCTTCCTTCAGCCATCTGTGTAACTCGGTATGTTTTAATGCCGACAACCTTACATCCAGTCTATTTTTCCCATCAGAACTGGGCCAAATGTGTTGTAATCATAAAGTTAAAGTTATTGTGTATTAAACGTCTTTGGATATTTCCATCAACTGCTGATAAAAGCTCCTAGCACAATGCTCCCGCCACACCACACAGACAGCAAACAAGTCTGCTTGCTTTCCCAGCGTTATCCACAACTTTATCATCCAACCCCTCCCCTTCCCACCAACCTGCGCTCACAACGTCTCTGCCCCACTACGGCCAAAAAGTGAAACCCACTTGTTTTTTGTGAGCTTTATCATTTTATTTTTTACTGTTGGCTCTATTAAAAGCAAACCGACACCGAGGGGTGAATTTATTCAGAAGTGAAGAAAGAAGATCCTTTTTTCTGTTGCTGGGGTGTGGGGCTGATTCTCCCACAGTGCAGCGAGAGATAAGGCTCCGGTAATTGGATAAGAATTGCCAAGACTCTGCCAATAGTTTGTCTTGCTCGTTGCCCCCAAGCACTCTGTACACACAGACACACACAGACACACAGTGGAAATAAGCATGCAATTCAAATTTGAACTCCTGTCCTCTTTTTCTTTTTTTAAATGAAGAACTGCTGGAACAGTCTCTTGTTACAGTGAAAGAAAAGAAAATGGTCTAGTTAATGCATAAGAAATGTACTAATACCGCAGCGCAGTTATAGAATAATGAATGCACGTGTGTGTAATGATATATAAACTGTGCTTTCCAGTATGAATCTCTTGTCTATTGTCCCGATGTCTCTGTGCTGTCACCAGGACAAATTTCTTTACACCCATTGTGCACGGAGATTGAATGCATTCTCATTGCGACCTATTTTCCTCATCCCATCCTTCCTTTTGCAGCCGTTCCGTCTGCCCCACGCAGCGTCATCTCCAGCGTCAACGAAACCTCGCTCGTGCTGGAGTGGAGCGAGCCTCGTGACCTGGGCGGCCGCGACGATGTCCTCTACAACGTCATCTGTAAGAAGTGCCTCCCCGACCGGGGAATGTGTTCGCGCTGCGACGACAACGTGGACATCTCGCCGCGCCACCTGGGATTGACCCAGCGGCGCGTGGCGGTCCGGAACCTGCAAGCCCACACGCAGTACAGCTTCGAGATCCAGGCGGTCAACGGCGTTTCCAACAAGAGCCCCTATACGCCCCAGTTCTCCGCCGTGAACATCACCACAAATCAGGCCGGTAGGTGCAGCTTCAGCACTGTGGCTACCTGGCAAAGATCAGCATTGATGTTTCGGGCGATGCCAACTTTCAAAGGCTGGGAAAAGACACAAAAGGATGTCAGAGAATACGCTCTGCGCCTAAAAAGCAGAGATCAATTTCTTGTATGTATGTAGGAGTGTGCTACATATTTTTCCTTTTGAACAGGGATTGAGAAGGAAGACGTTCTTCTGAATGAGCTTAGAGAGGGACCTTTTTTTCACACGCCCACAGCATGGTCTGTGCTAACACCACTGCAAATAGCAATAGCGAGGCAGTGTATATTCAAAGCGTGGAACCTTTAGTATTCTGGCTGCCCACTGGTTCCAACCCACCGATCCTTCAGCTCTCAGCAAAAACAGTAACTAGGCCAATGTAGCAATCAGAGCTGAGATGATTTTTTTTAAACCCATCAGGTATATATAGATATAGAGAGTAATAGAACCCGCTATTGATAAGCCAAGTGATGAAAATAAATCAATAAATGGAGGGAGACTGTAGACCAGGGATGTCAGAATAACTTTATATCGTGCATTGGACCTGTAAAACTCCACCTGTCAGTGACAAAGGATAAGTATCCTAAGATACCTTAATATAAGAAAAAGAAGAGCAGTTTCAACAGTATGTCTCAGTTTGTCCACATGATAAAGAAATGCTGCTGTAGTAAATGAAAGAAAGCTTTCAGCATTATTCTTTGGGCTAAAATTATAAGAAATACATGTTTTAAATTACAGAAAACAATTTGAAAGGTTTAGAAAGTTTCCATTAATTCACATTTTTTGTGGACATACTGTAAAAAAAAAAAAACCCTGGTTTTTTAAAATGGTTTGTCTATTACTTAACTACTTTGGTGCAATATGAACGGTCTTTATCAGAAGGAAAAACTCCAAATGCATTTAAAGTCCAGAATGTACGCCCTCCTTAGATTGGAGTCTTTGGCCATCAAGCCTTATGTTTGACACTACAGCCGGGGGACTATTATGATCATTTTTTCAGTTACCTAGGAAATCTCACTATTCTCACTGATGTACTTTTACTCACCCCAGTTTTTCTTTTTACTTGTAAATTGAACTCTTTGCTGCTGTGTTAAGTTTGCTCTTTCGGCTAGCCTAGTAAACACCAAGGATTATTCCTTGGCTCCTCCTCCCCCATCCTTTTTCCTTCTCTCCATGGCCTTGTCCTCCTCACCTTTGACCTTGTGTGCCTACTCCTAAAAGATTCTTTAGGAATGCCTTCTTTTTGTGGGTCTGGAACCCAAAGGCCCCACCAGCCCCACATGAGGGCCTCATTGTTTCACGGGGAGGTTTGGCGCTGGGCTGACAGGGACAAGTGTCCACCCTTGGGTGCTTGGGGTCAGGTGGGTGCGGAGGGAGCAGTGAAGAGAAAGAACAGGGCAAGAGAGCATCATCTGTGATCAGATTATCCATTTGTGTAGTCCCAAGACCATCCCTGCATGTGCAGTCACCTTTTAAGAATCAAAATAAATACTGGGTTGGTGATAAGCCCCTGGGGCCACCTCCATGGTTACTCCCAACGTCTCCTCCTGGAGGAGGGCCCCTAATCCCTTGGCTAGAGTAACCAGGGGATCTGCCTAGGAAGCATTGTCTTCTGGGGGAATAAGAGAGACAAGGAGAAATGGAATAGATGGGACTTACAAGGAAGGGGAAAACTCAGGAAAGGGGAGGTGCAGACACCAGAAAGAAAGACAGAGCAACAGAAGGTTGTCTGGTCTCCAAGACAAGCAACGAGGTTAGAAAGGAAATGGAACGGGGACGATGAAAGAATGTGAAAATGGGACGTAAAAGTTTTTAACAAAGCCAGCGAAAATTGGTGTGTGGTATGGGGGAACGAGAAACACTGATCCAGGGATTTTCCTAAAGTGAGTGCGGTACAGTATAGAATAATATTATTGTGCAACACTTGACTTCCTTCACTTCACTTTCCTTATTGACCAAAAGTGATTATCAGCACATCTGTCTTGGTTAGACAGGACATCTTGTGAATAAGTCATAAAACTGTGGAGGAAGGGGGAGAGGATGGAGGGCTGCAGCAGTGAAAGACAAGCAGAAGAGTTGAAAAGTCCACTGAAAAAGCAGGAAGTGTATTATTTATATTCAAGTAAAGGTAATAGTGGAGATAGAGAGTGGAAGGTATGAAGTAAAGTTAAAAGGGTAGACCGAGTGGAGGAGGGAGTAAAGGAAAGAGCGGCATGGGCGTACTGTTAATGCGGCACGTGTAAACTAAGCATGAGAAACTCCAGTCGTTACATGTTTCATAAAATAATTAGATCGTATGGTGCGTGCACATTTTTGTATTTGTATATTATATTCATGCACAGCACTCGAAGAACAAGATCTTTTTCTACAGCCGAGAAAAAACAGGAAAGCACAGCTCCTCTCAAACATTTCAACCAGATTGTGGAGTAACAGCTCAGCAGCAGTGAAGTGCACAGACACATACGTGCAAAACTCTGCATGTGCGGCTGTTCCTTCGCTCGCCTGCCGTTAATATACGACAGAGGGAACTGCGTGGACCTTATCCATCAGTTTCTAAAGTTTGATTCTCTTGCTACAGGAGAATTAGACATAACCTCTCCTTCCCCTAGGACTCTGGGAGGGAGAATTCGAGCATTAGTCGGGAATGGCTCTGCATACTAACTAGTGGCCAAAGCTTTTCACAAAGCTCACAGCTAAGACTTTGTATTTGGGCTTCTGTGGACAGACAAAGGGCACAGAACTTCAAAAGACATAACACGAAAAACAATAAATAAAGCGGATTTCCCTTTATTTATTTCCCCCCCTGTGAAGCTCCCTCTGCAGTGCCCACAGTTCACCTGATGGCGGCCACAGCGAGCACCATGAGCCTGTCCTGGCTGCCTCCAGAGAAACCCAACGGAATCATTCTGGATTATGAGATTAAGTACCATGAGAAGGTAAGCGCCGATGTTAGAGAACGCCTGTAATTCAATCCAATTTCAGTGACTCGCATGGTTTCTGTATCATCTGTGTTTCTGTAAATGTGGTAAACAATGGCTCTGCTGATAAACACATGTTGGCCGTGAGGCTTCCTTTTCTTCTTATTCCACTCTTTCCATCTCTTTCTATCCTTCCAATCCCTTCCCTGTTGTACTCTTCCCTTTTCTTCTTTTCCCTCCCATCCTCTGTCAATCCATGCCCTAAAAAGTTTCTAAAACCCCAGAAAGTTTAGAGTTTTCCTCAGGGAAAGAGCGCAGTCACTCACTATATGCTGTCTTCTGCTGTCAGATTAACATACCAGCTATGATATGGCTCTCCTTTTCTCTCTCTCTCTCTTGCTCTTGTCTTTTTTATATATTTTTGTCAACCTACATCAAAACTTTTAGAGAAGGAACAACGAGGAGCAGGGGTGCGTTGTTTAATCCCTGTATTTGTATGTGCAGGATCAGGGTGAGGCCATTGCCCATACCATGACTGCCCAACGGAGCAACGCCCGCATTGAAGGTCTTAAGGCTGGTACGCCTTACGTGGTGCAGGTCCGCGCTCGAACAGTCGCTGGTTACGGTCGCTACAGCAGCCCAGCCGACTTCAGCACCAACCTCCAAAGTACGTTACACCCCGCCTGCGTTACTACCCGGGGATGTACTGGGATATGTCTGTACAAATAGTGCAATGCAAAGCTTATAGATGTGTTGGATTTTTTCAAGAGTTTATAGTGTAAGAAGCCATACCCGTCCTCTACTTTATAAAGGATGTGCAGATTCTTCTGCACACAGATGAATAAACCTTGCACTGCTGTACTGAGCTGGATTGCAGCTAGTTTGGTCGATGCTTGCGGCAACTGACTAACTAACTGATCACCTTCTCTCTTTAATCTTGTAAAGCTGACCCCCCAAAGTCGCTGCAGGAGCAGCTGCCGCTCATCGTTGGATCAGCCACCGCCACCTTAGTCTTCATCATTGCAGTTGTGGTCATCGCTATTGTCTGCCTGAGGTGAGAATCCCGCTACTAAAACAGCAAGGCTTACAGAAGCATCGGTGCCAAACTGTTGTTTTTCCCGTCAATTTGAAAAAAACAAAACACCGAGATAGCTTCAAATGTCAGCTTTGTTTGCTTGTCCTCCAAACTGCCCCGGAACAGTCTCAGCGGATTGCTTTGCCACCTGTGAGCCCGCTGAATGCCAGATTAGCCTTCTGAATCTGTGAATAGTAAACAGCTTTGGCCAAAATGCTACTTTGCTCAGTGGAAACAGCATGGCGGAGCAGCTGTTGGGCCTGATAGGCCTGCCCTCACGGCCCAGCACTCAGAATCAACTGTGCGTTTGCCCGACCACAAAGAACCCAGATGCGCCCCTGTCTGCTGAGCCCAATTGACTGGGAAGCTGCACGCGGCTGCTCTTACCTTTCAGAAAGTCTGACACTACATCAGCTGGGTCTAACCGCACTCGTTTATCCTTTATACCATTCATTTGTCAAGCAGAAAATGCCGTGCGACGGTGTCTGTATGTGCGAGAGGCTGGCACCCACTGCTGACTGGTGCCCACTCGGGTTCTCTCTGCAAGCCAGTTCAGGCAGCTGCTGACAAGTGTGGGCATCAGTCATGCTAGACTGAATAATAATCTCCCTGGATCCCCCTCCTTTTCTTTCTCCCCTCCTGCCTCTTCGCTCTCCCTAATTTTCACACCGCTACATTGTGTGTCTCTCTCTCAGGGTCTTGGCTTAGCCACTGCTCTGACTGCTACAGAAGAAGGGAGAAAAATAGAAACGATACAAAACACACAGCTTCGGCATATACCAGAAGAAAATTAGAATTTAAAATAAAATGCAAATTACCATCGGGTATTTTTTGCCCCGGTTACTGGTTAGACAACAAAGGAAGCGCATTAACATGTGATTTCAACAGCCCAGCTCCGTATCCGAGCCCACACCCCATCCCCGCTGGGTGCGAAAGGGACAGATGCATGGAGGTGAAGCTGGAGGAAGTGAGTGGCTATAAGAGGACGAGAGTAAATAAATTCATTAAAAAGAGAAAAGGGAGACTGACAACCAGAGAGCAAGATCCATGAGGAGAAAAATACAAGTGAGATTGAATTGAAATGTGCAGTGTGATGTCTGCGGGGCGAGGAAAGCGAGACAGCTGAGCTTGCTGTTTGAGTCCGCTTTTGTCTCGGCTGCTCATTTTTGGAGGGGTTGAGGGGGGGGGTACCGAGAGTGAATGGCTTTCACTTGCTGCTTCAGACAATAGTATGATATCCTTTTGTTTACACTTGCGCTACAGTCCCCGAGTATGAATCATTTTTACCACTAGGCATTGATACAATCTTTATCAGCGTATCCCTTGCTTCCAGCGCACAAAAAGACGACACATATTTACCACGCCACATCACAGTGCGACTGCATCTCACGCTACAACTAGGCGTTATTAGGGATCTGTTTTCTCCCCGTGCCTTTGTTCCTCAGCAGTGTTTGTGCCCCACTGTGCGGGGACCACGTGACTCACTTTGTGTTTTCATCTTTCTCAACAGAAAGCAGAGAAACGGTTCAGAGTCAGAGTACACAGAGAAACTGCAGCAGTACAGTAAGTCTCTCCGCTAAGCTCGCTCACCTGTTCCAAACAGCAGCACGTCTGCGCGTCTCGCTGTCGCCAGAAGCGATCAGACAGATATCACATTGAATATTTATCGCTTGGCAACGGAGATTCACTTTCCTGTTCTTGCCACTGAATCCCCAATAGTAACGCCGGGAATGAAGGTCTACATTGACCCCTTCACCTACGAGGACCCCAATGAGGCAGTGCGCGAGTTTGCCAAGGAGATCGATGTGTCCTGCGTGAAGATCGAGGAGGTCATTGGCGCAGGTAACCCACCAAAGCTCCTGAGCTACAGGGGGAAGACTGCTAGTCACCTCCAGGCCATACCATTAGAGGACTTCACACCAAGCGGTACTTTCACTCAATTCATCGCTAGCCCTCTTCTTGCTCGCCTCCCTACCGCACACCGTCACCTCTTAGGAACGTTTTTGTGTTTTTTTTAGCCTTCCAGATGTCCAGCACTGTGTTAGTGTGACTCACAGTTGTAGCATCCCCAACGTTTACCACGCCGTGTGCGTTTAGACTAGTTTTAATACCCATTGTATGGTAGATTATTATTTCACCCATGTCCTAAAAGGCAAAAATTACCCCAATCCTGCAATGGGAGAAATTCAATAAATATGGCACAAGAGTTATTGATAACTTTTTGTAAAAGCACAACCCCATACAGACAGGATTTATTTCTCTAGGGGAGATTTTAATCCCATCTGATTGCACGTATGTGAGAGTCTTCTTTTACCTTTTCCAGTATAAGCTACAAACCTGTTTTTTTGCACACTTATTGAACTTTTGTGTGCACAGACAAACACTGAGCGTTAAGGTTTTGAGTTTCAGCAGCTGCCATCATTGAAATAATGCAGGATGTTGTAATTCTAGTGGTAATTATATCTGGCTACTGGCAGGAATGCTGTAGGATACCTTATCTACCTCTTAAAGTTTTCTACTTCTTTCATACCTCATTGCACTACTCTGCACTTCAAAACTGATGCAAAGGAAATTGAAATTTTAAAAGAAGGAAGACTGAAGGCGATGTGAAAATGTGCTGTAGTTGCTGTAGCTCACAAACTTGTGTATGTTGTGAAATATCGAGAGATTTACTGGCCAGCGATTGCCTTAATGAGCGCTGTGTGAACCTGCGAGGGCTTGATTGTAATGGATATGTACTTTAGAGGACTTAAAGTCCAGCTCTTTGGCTCTGTGTCTGGTTTTGTGTGTGTAAGCTCGGGGAATTCCTGTCTCTAAGAGCCATGGCTAATATTTATCTGTTGTACTTTTCTAGAGGTTTAAATCTGTCTGGTTGGGGTGTAAAATATATTGAATTGCTCCGAGTCCAGGATTGGCTGCCTGTAACCCTGCCCACTTTTTTATATCCGGAGAACCTCTTAATTAAAAAGAGGATTTTTACTGGATCGTTATGTTTGACCTTTTTTTCCCCTGGTACTCACACCCTATCCACTATGTGGTTGTAACCCCCTTGTTTTAGAAACCCTCCCTCACATGATGTTGTAGACAGTGAAATATTTTATGTCTTTGATATATTTGACAGTTATATCTCTGCCTAAAAGCTACAGGACTGTGCCATGTGAGGTTCAGATATTTTAGCATATGTCTCTGAGCCAAAAAAGGAAGACGTTGTGATGGCAGAGATGGGAATCGCTTGCCACTGCTTCTGCTACTACCATTACTACTACTACTACTACTACTACTACTACTACGACAGCTCTTCTACTGCTGAGGCAACTTCTTGAAACCCTCGCTCCCCAGCATTCGCCTTTAAAGTGACAAACCCTCAACCCCTGTCTTCCCTGTCCCCTTCCTCTCCTCTCCCCCTTCCTCAATCCATCCCTCCATGCCCCTCAACCCTTTGCCCCCCCCCTTCCCCGACCTCCCCCACTTTGTTACCTTTGCACCTGTGTTGACACGCATCACTTTCATCACCTGATTTTTCTTGGCTTCTTGCACACGCTTGGTGTAGAGTTTAAACATAAAGCGTCCACAACCCCCAAGCTTCTGTCTCCACCCATCTCTTCCTCCTGTGCTCACTTCTCCGGCCCCTCTGAAGCTTAGCACCCCCCTTCCCCACCCCACAAACCCTTGACCCCCTTTCCCCCGTAATCACCCTAAGTCTAGCCTATAATGTCACCCAACTTCACCCTAAAAATGTTATGCTTTTTTTCCCAGTCCTGTGTCATTTCACATTGTGCCATCATGCCTTTCACTCACCATTTGTTTTTCTTTTAGTATGTAAGTTAACAGTATAAAGTCACTGTATGCCTCCCCTTATATCACAATCCCTTAAGACTGGCCTAGAGTCTTGGCTTCTCTTGCAGTCCCACCCTGCCCCCAGCTACCCTTCCCTGGCTCCTTGGTTCTAACCAGTTAACTGTCCCCTCTTCCCTCTTTCCCCCCACTCTCCTCCACTCTTCCGTCATGCCTCTCTTCCCTCCCTCTCTCTCTCTCTGTCTGTCTTTCCATCTCTCCTCTTTTGCTGTTTTTCTGGCTGTCTCACCTGGGCTCTCGCAGGAGAGTTCGGGGAGGTGTGTCGCGGTCGCCTAAAGCTGCCCGGGCGCCGGGAGATCATCGTAGCCATCAAGACTCTCAAGGTGGGCTACACCGACAGGCAGAGGCGAGACTTCCTATCTGAAGCGTCCATCATGGGCCAGTTCGACCACCCCAACATTATCCGCCTGGAAGGTGTGGTCACCAAAAGTCGTCCGGTGATGATTGTGACCGAGTTTATGGAGAACGGAGCACTGGACTCTTTTCTGAGGGTGAGAAAAAACGAATTAAAAAAACAAGCACACACCAGAATAGCCTTAAAATTAGTTACTCTGTAGAAAATGTGATTTTATGAGTGATGCAACACTACTGGGTAAATAAGCCCATCCAAAGCCGCTGGATTTTTGTTTGTAGTTATCTCGCTGTCTTTGCAACCTTAAAAGGTCTTCTTAAGTGCAGCTGCAGAGCTCACTATGGATATCTTACAAATCCTGTATTCTGGCAGTTGGTGACATTTACAGAGCTCAGTCTCCAATGAATCTCTGCCTCAAAGTCACATCATACACTGTCTGCCAGAGAAAAGAGGTGGGGGGGCTGATACAGAGATAATGGACAATGGAAGAATATAGAATGGGCAGGTAGAAAAGAGAAATACATTACGACATGAGATGATGAGAGATTAAAGATATAGGTAAGAGGACATAAAAAACAGTGTAGAAGACTGAATATAGAGAGCTAAAGCATGAAATAACCATGAAAGAAGAGGCACACAGACTGTTTTCTCCTTTGAAAATGGATCCTTGATCTGCAATGCAGTTCATACGTGTCACTCTCTCCTCCTTTGCCAGCTCAATGATGGGCAGTTCACAGTGATCCAGCTGGTAGGCATGCTCCGTGGGATCGCAGCAGGCATGAAGTACCTGTCAGACATGAACTACGTGCACAGAGACTTGGCTGCCCGTAACATCTTGGTTAACAGTAATCTGGTGTGTAAGGTATCTGACTTCGGCCTGTCTCGTTTCCTTGAGGATGACCCCACAGATCCAACCTACACCAGCTCACTGGTGAGTTCGTGGATATGTTACACTTGACTGCTTTTTGTATTTGTCTGTTTAAAAAGGCTACATATGCTGTTCCAACATCAACCCATTATTGTTGTTTTCTTTTAATCATCGTGTCCAATAAATGCCCGGTGTGTTCCCACAAGATCAGAGGTTTTTCTTGTCACTGTGGCACGGACAAGTGGACAAATTAAGAACAGTTAAGGGTATAGAAGTCTATATTAAAGGGTGTGGAATGATCCAGTTAATGACATTAATGAATACGTGAAATTTAAAGATCACAAGAGTACCTCCAAGGGCACGCAGGTGTTACAGTTTGTTTTAGATTCCCAGAAACGTTACAAAATCGGTTGCTGACAAATTGCTGGAGTCTCTAATATTCTTCAACTGGCAAAGCAGTTTGGGATTTATGTCTGAAAGGGTATACTGAGGATAATAGACGTATGAATATGAACGATGGTATAAAGACAGCTTTGTTTTTTTCTTCTCAGCTCTGATTCGGCCCGATATGAAAGACGATGACCATTTTTTACATCCGTGCATAGTAAAGCAAAGAAGGAGAAAAAGCACAGAACAATGTCAGGAGGTGTGCAGAAGGTCAATTCTCCTTATGGCAGGAAGCAGTTGTGTTCATTTTTGTGCTCTTTACTCCAAGAGACACTCCTAGTATGAGTCAGCAACTGTCTATCGGATACATAGTTGAATGAAAAGGATTAACAATGACACTGAAAAATGCACCGTGCTGCACATTTCATACCCTTAAAGTTTCACCTCTCTGCACGTGTCATTTGTCCGTAAACGTCTGACTAACCTCGTGTGAATGCGGTGTTTGGGTTCTATGGCATGCACCCATCTGTTGTGCATCAACGTTTCCCCTGGACAGTTTTTTTCTCACCCTCTCTTTCCCTCTTGTATGTGTGTGACTCTGTGTTTGCGCTCCATCTCTCCAGTATTTCATGCTCACCTACTCATTCGCATATCCACAGGGAGGGAAGATCCCCATTCGCTGGACCGCTCCGGAGGCAATCGCCTACAGGAAGTTCACCTCTGCCAGCGACGTCTGGAGCTACGGCATCGTCATGTGGGAAGTTATGTCGTATGGCGAGCGGCCGTACTGGGACATGAGCAATCAAGATGTAAGATCACAAGCTTATATATAAGAAACCACCTTCTTCTCCGATTTATGTGGAAGAGCCATTCTTTTTCTCCCCACACATCCGCCCACAGCTCCAACTTTTGCTTGCCCTTGTTTCTGTGAATAACCAAAGCCATTTTTTCCTTCTTTATCCCCGGTTTTTATAATTCCCACCATTCACTCTCTTCTGCCGTGCTGTTTTCCATCGACCGCCTCTCTCGCATCGTCCGCCCTCCCTCTGCGCTACACTCAGCGATTAGAAGTGATTGGGATTTCTCTGTCGTCCTTCCCCAGGTGATAAATGCCGTGGAGCAGGACTATCGACTGCCCCCACCCATGGACTGCCCGACGGCTCTGCACCAGCTCATGTTGGACTGCTGGGTGAAAGAAAGGAACCTACGACCTAAATTCACCCAGATCGTGGCCACGTTGGATAAGCTTATTCGCAATGCTGCCAGTCTCAAAGTAGTCACCAACAGCACGCAGTCCTCGGGGTAAGCCTTAATATAAAAAGCACATTGGTCACGTTAAAGTCAAAATTAGTATGAAGGCCATGTCAAGTGGAGCTTTGCAGTAAATGCTTGTTTATGCTGAGGAACGTGTTATTATAGAAGGGGACTTTAAACGCGATGGTGTTTTTCTAAATGCCCCTGAAGGCTCTTGTTAAGTGTAATGCTCTGTGTATTAATAATGCATAATCATGGTCATAGCATAAATGGATATTAGTAATGGCTACCTTTCCTGAGTCATATGGCGGATTAGGCTTGCTCGGCTTTTGCGATGTAATATAATAACAAGAACCTTCAGTCAGTTAAGTTCATTGATTTAAGGCACTCAGTCAGTAAAGAGAGTGCTGGTCAGGCAATTTCATTAGCACCAAGGGTGGAGAACTCTGCAAGTATTGCTAAGTTTAAATAGTGGATATGAATGTTCCTGAATCATCTGCAACAGGTTTCTTTTTTATTGTTCCGATATCATCTCATTCAACTCTTTAGTTTGCACAAGCTCAGGGTAAGCTGTTATACAAATCCAAATGACTATTGCTCGATTCGAGCCTTAAAGCAGCTTCATCGCCAGCTGGGAGCTCGACGTGTCACGTCTACATTTAGCTGAACTATCTTTCCGTCCAATTGGTTTCTTGGAAAGAATTTGGAGGAACGAGTTGGCGCAAAGCTGATGGGGCTGACCTACCTATCTGTGTCTGCATCGGGGTCTTTCTGTCTTGAGGGAGGGACAGAGACAATCCTGGGTTGTGCTCAAGGGGGAAACCAGGGTCTCGGTTGGCCACAGGAGCGACGCTCTTAGAAGATTAAGCTTGCGGTTAATTAGCCCGATTAAGGCGATGCAAAAAAGAGATGAGAGTGCCTTTTAATTAGCCACTAACGAGATTTTAAATGGGCCAGCAGAGAGGTGGCCTCCTGCCGATAGACCTAACAAGGGAGGAGTAAAAGATGTTACAGTCGTCCTGGTCGGCACTGAAGGGTGGCTGGAGGTTAGCTAACGCTGTCTGACATTAAAGACTTTGGCTGCGGGAGTTGCGCATGCCTGACCTGACTGAATATTTGCCCGCGCGAGCTTCGGTGATTTCTATCCTTTGCTGCAGCTGAATCGGTCAGAACAAGCAAAGAAAGAAAAATCTAACTTTTTAAAACAATGACTGCATAAAAGGCCAAACCACTGACTAATGCAGCAGCCATTTTTTTATGACATGAAGTTGGGCTCGTAGTGGTCTCACTAGCTAGCTCCAGCCTTCCTGCTGCGTTGTGCTTGTGGCTAACATGTGGCCAGCATAAGTCTGGACCCCTTTTGAAGCCAATTTTATGGGAGGACCAACAATACTGCATTAAGAGAAGCCAGAGTCGTGCGTTAACGACAGCCCGAGGGCTTGGATGCCCAAGCACAGGCCTTATTAAAAATCACTCCATCTACACCACTCAATGGAGCCTCTGTATCACTGTTATTAACTCCCCTCCTCCTCCTCCGCGTGCTTTCTCCTTCCCCTCTCGTTCTCTCTCCATTCCTTTTAATTGTTAATGAATCTAATGCCATCAAAAAGGATGACAGGGATCAACGGAGCAGAGAGGAGTGGAGACAGTGGTGCTCTTTCTTGTTTTTTCCCTTCACATCCCAGGACATTCTCTCCACCTCCGCCTCCTCCGTCGTTCATCTGCTGCGCTTCGCTCTGAGTTGTTGCGCCGTTTTATTAAAACTCCCAAGGTGGCCTCGCTATCTGCAGCGTTGATCAGCGCAGGAGGTTAGGTTCTTTTTTTTTTTCCCCTAAAAGCCCTTTTGGGGCTGTCAACAGGTGCGCAGCAACACGCAGAGCGCCCTCCGACACGTTTTCAAGACGTTTGAGGGAAGCGTTGCGCAACTAATCACATTCATGCGCTGTCAAACACACATGAACTATGAGTTTGTGAGTCATTTCTTCCAGAGTCCCCAACATTGCAAGTCGGCGCTAATGCGAAACCGCGCACACATGTGAGTGACATCTGTGTTTACATTTCAGTGTTTTTCCCTCTTTTCTTGAAAGCGATTTTTAAAAAATATTTCCACCTTTGCGGACTCATGTTGCACACAGTGGATCATTTTATGCATTGGTAATTATGCACTGAAAGGCATATGGCTCCCAGCCCGTCGTTTAAGCTCGTGTTCTCGCAGAAATTTGATTTGAACTGACCTGCAAAACCGCAAAGACTCCAATCTTTCCAGATCAGATTTAAAGCACGTTTGTAGATGGTTTAATAGTGCGACTCAGTACAACCACACAGATTGAATTTCAAGTTGTTGTTGATCTTTTTTTCTTCCTCCTCTCATCAATCCCCAAACAATACACCCGACATCTCTTTGCAACAAAAAGAACGAGAAGCAAAACACAAAGCTTTTCAGATATTTCCAGGTTTTCATTTCTTGAGGTTTACATAAAGAAGGCACTTTTCTGCATTGTTATTAACATTATCACCATCACGATGCTGCCGGGCAGATGCATTCCTGACTAAAACGAGCTCCACTTGGTTTCTTTAACACTTGTTGCTGGTTTAAGCTAGATTTGAAGCTCTGTGTGTGAATACACGTGACCTCCCCTCACCAGCTGCTGCGCCAACATCCACCACCCAAGCCTCCAGCCAGTCTCTCCACAGTCACAACTTGCTCCTCACCCACCCTGTACATTCCCTGGGTTCCCGCCCCTCCACTCGTCCCTGCACACAACTCGGTACAGAGGAGAGGAGAGGAGGAAGGGGGGGAGAACAGAGGAGGAGAGAAATGGAGAGGTGGCGCTCAGCGGGGGGCGTTTGGGGGTGAGGTTGGCCGGTAGAGGCACACAGAGTGACGACCTTAACCCTCTCTCTCTCTCTGTTTCTCTTTCTCTCTCCTCCCTCCCTTCCCCCCTGTCCCCTAATGTAGGGTTTCTCAGCCCTTGCTTGACCGCTGTGTGCCAGACTATACCACTTTCACCACTGTGGGGGACTGGCTGGATGCCATCAAGATGAGCCGCTACCGTGACAACTTTGTCAACGCAGGATTTGCTTCCTTTGACCTGGTGGCCCAGATGACAGCAGAGTGAGTGGAGCTACTCAGGTCTACAACGCCTGAGCGGGACTGAGATTCAGAGTCAAATTAAAAACACTTAAATATGATGATGAGATGCGGAAAACAGGTCTCTGAACCAACTCAGATATCACAGAATAAGAAAAATAATACATTTATATTTGTTTTCCAGTAGGTATGCTCACATACTTTGATACATGCTGGACACTAGTTTAATAATTGAAGATGTCAGAGATGACAAAGTGATTATATTGGTTGATCACAAGTTGGTAGCTCAGAAACTGATACTTTGTCGCCCTTTTTAGAAGCAAACAAATCAACGTTACACGATTGGACAGCACCGCAGCCTACAATTTTTAAGCTAACTCTTGCGGCTGTTTTTACTGCAATTTGGTTCAGCTTTGATCATGTTTACAAACAGGAAATGATGCAATGGAAACCATGGAAATTGCAGGCCAGTGATGATTAAATAAATGAATTAGGAGTATAATGATAAATAAATCATTCTCATTAGGTGCATAATAGGCAGTGGAGGTGGGAGTAATTTGTTTCAATTTGGCTAGGCTGACAGGTGTGGTGTACTGTGGCTCTCTGTTGCCCTTAATGGCCAGTAATTCCTCTAATGGTGCCCATTTATTATCATTTCATCCTCCGTCACTGTGCTGATGGGGTTGGCAAAATATGGGGGGTGGGGGAGAATTTGTTTGTGTGAAGTTGTGGCGACTCGAATGTGACGAGAGGACAGATGTGCGCCGCGGATTTGTGTACCTGCGATTATGTACATATCTGGTTAAGCTTTGTTTTTGAAGCAGAGACACTCATAAAGTGAGAAAACACGTTGTCTGTAGGTTATATTAGATCAGAAGGGACAGGACGCGTACAGAGGCAGAGCACTCGTGGTCAGCTGGTCAGCTGATGGTCTGCTCTCTCCTCAGCTATTATCTGGAGAAGTCAAGTGTATGTATAGACATATTTCTACTAGTATGAAATTGCTGACATTGAAATGATAGCATCACACAGTTGATGCAGATTTGAGAGGATATTTGAGAGCAGTGAACACATCATGTTCAAGAAACTAGTTTGAGATGACTTGAGGTTTGTGACATGATTACCTTATGCATGAAGTAGTCCATCCCACTGTGATCAGTCAGCTATACTCAGGCAGACTGTTGTGTTTAAATTATGCTCGAGGCCCAAAGCCTGACAAGAAAATATCCTTCGCACCATTACACCACAACCAGTCTGAATCATCGACACAAGGCCGGATGGATCCATGTTTTCATGTTGTTTTAAGTTCTGACCCTTCGAAATGTCGCAGCAGAAACTGAGACTCATTACCCAGGCACCTGTTTTACTTAACCTCTGCGTACTGTAGCCCCTGTTTCCTGTTCTTACGGTTGACACCCAGTGTGGTCTTCTGTTTCAAGGCTCAACTTGTTGTGCGTTTGGAGATGCTCTTCTGCATACTTTTGTTGTAACGAGTAGGTATTTGAGTAACTGATGCCTTCCCATCAGCTCGACGCACTCTGACATGCAGGAAGCATTTTTAACTCTCTTTAAACCATCCTCTGTAAACCCTAAAGATGGCTGTACGGGGAAAATCTCAGCAGTTTCCAGCCCGTCTGACTTTGCCACGTTCAAAGTCACTTGACGACCGAGCTTTGCGATGGAGACGCTCTGTTTGAACTGCAGCAGGTTGACTCGACCGTATGCACACGTCTAAATGCATTGAGTTGCCGCCACGTGATTGGGTGGTTGAAAGGTGGAGCTACCTGCTGAAAGTAGCATCAGGAGGTTAGGTTCTTTTTTTTTTTCCCCTAAAAGCCCTTTTGGGGCTGTCAACAGGTGCGCAGCAACACGCACAGCGCCCTCCGACACGTTTTCAAGACGTTTGAGGGAAGCGTTGCGCAACTAATCACATTCATGCGCTGTCAAACACACATGAACTATGAGTTTGTGAGTCATTTCTTCCAGAGTCCCCAACATTGCAAGTCGGCGCTAATGCGAAACCGCGCACACATGTGAGTGACATCTGTGTTTACATTTCAGTGTTTTTCCCTCTTTTCTTGAAAGCGATTTTTAAAAAATATTTCCACCTTTGCGGACTC